AGACACAGCTGTATACCTCACTCATCACCTGGGACAGACCTGAGACACAGGTGTACACCTCACTCACTGCTTGGGACACACCTGGCACTGAATTGTGTTTGACAAGGCTTTGTTTACTTGTCACTCAAAAACAACAACTCCCTAGGTTTCAAGTCAAAGAGACCTTGGGCAAGTCACTTCAGCTTTCTGAGCCCAAATGAATTCGATGCTCTAAAGGAGAGTCATTGGTGATGGTTGTTAAGTTCTGCCGAGTCGGTTCCAACTCACAGCTGCCCTGTATAGGATCTTCAAGGAGCAGCCAACAGGTTTGAACTGCTGACCTTGGGGTTAACAGTCCAGTATTGTGTGGCACTGTGGGTTAATGCGTCAGACTGCAAAGTCGGCGGTTCAAGCTCACCAGTTGCTCCTTGGAAACCCTATACAGAGTCACTAGAGGTTGGAATCGACTCAACGGCACTTAACAACAACAACAACACTTACCCTACAGCGCCACACACTGGACACATACTGAAATCTTAAGAGACCCGATGGGATGCTGTGAGCTGGAACTGACTTGATGGCAAAGGAATTGATTTGATTTCGCACAAGGGGTTCAGCTCTTGATTGTGAATTGAAAGGAGGGCGACTCAAACCCATCAGTTGTTCCATGGTTCAAGAAGTCGCAGTCTGCCTTCATAAAGACGTCAGCTTTGGGAACCCGATGGAGCAGATCTAGTCTGCTGTGTAGGCTCGCCACCGGCACGGATTCATCAGCAGTGGGGTTTCCAGGAGTTATCAGGGGCCTTTTACTGAGGAGGAAGCATAAGGGATTGTGAAGGGGGACTTTTGGGAGACATCACAAATATCTTGTTAGTGTGGACCATGCAAAGAAGGCATTCTCACTACTAAAATTCCACATTAAATTTACCTAGCGGAAACAAAACCAGAAGAATCCTTTACATCGACGCTGCGAACAGAAACTGAACAATTCCAGAATTACTTTGAAAGGACACATTTCTGAATTGGGGGCGGGGGCGGGGGTATGGTGGGGCAGAAATCATTCAGAGTTTTACATCTGGCAATTTTAAGATGGGTTTTGAAAGTAAAAGTTATTAAGCTTTATTTAAAAAGTTACTAAGCTTTAAGGATACCAAATTTTATTTAAAATTAACGTTCTATACTTAGAAGAAGGTTGCTTTTTATGTAGTTTTCTGAAAACGTTAAAAAAAGATCTAGTAAACATTCATAGCCCTTATAATTACATAGTACTTGCTCCCTCCCACCTCCTCCCAGAACTTCACAGGCATTAGATAATTTTAGGTTTCATAACTCTCTCTCTGAGGAAGATGAGACAGACAGAGGTCAGGGCCCTCGCTTTAGAGACAGGAAGACCCAAGTTCAGGGAGACTTACAAACCATCTGCCCAGGATGAGACAACTCCAGAGGGAGACACTGTTTCCAATGTGTCTGACAGCTGTGAGGTCTCATCACCTGAAACAGGAGGGTCTCTGCTCCATGAGTCACTTCTAGCCCCACTGTTAGAAAGTGAGCGTTACCAACACTGCTTCAGTACGAGTTAACATACACATTCACTTTAAGAGCCAACAATTGGACTTGATTCTATTTGGTCTTTGCAAATCAAGCTGAGACAAGGAAGGAAAACAGAAGACACCGAGAGGAAGTAGGAAGAGGGCTGTTCCATGGTTTGTACTGCAATCGATGACATGAAACAAACGTGTGTGAATTGTTGAATGGGAACGCGATCTACCCTACCAACCTTCACACAATTCACAATCCAGTAACAAAAAATTAAAAAATGAAGCTGAGATGAGGCGCTCACATATTCCATTGACTCACCCTTCTTACTGCTCCTCAAGGTTACAGTCGCGGCTCTCTTTGGCTAATATAGCTACAGCTCTCAGTTGGGGTGCCCTTCCACATCTCTTCACTCACAGACATCTGAGCTCCTATCCCATGGTACTGATGTTCTCTACACTGAGACAACACAGTCGTACTCTGCTACATTTAACAGCTGAGCTCCGAATACCTGTCCTAACAGGGGAGACCACACTAGGCACAGACTGCTACATCTTTCTCTCATAGAGCGGTTAGTGGCTTGGAACCACCGATCTTGTTGTTCGCAGCATAACACTTAACCCACTGAGCTTCTAAAAGGGGAAAGGAAAGTAAGATCTCTATGAAAATGCTTTCTTGGATGATTTAAAAAAAAAGACCAACAAAACTTGTCGCCTTCGAGTCGACCTCCACTCACAGAAGTTACAGTGTAGACCTGTACTCCAGCTCGTTTACTTGGCTAGGATCTTAGAGATCTCCAGACCTTTCTCCCGCAGGGCCACTGTGGCGATTCAAACTGCCAACCTTTTGGTTATAGTCATCGTGGTGGTGATGTGCCGTGGAGTCAGTTCTGACTCATAGCGACCCTGCACAGGGTTTCCAAGGCTGTATATCTTCTCGGGTGCAGAAAGCCTCATCTTTCTCCTGCGAAATGGCTGGTAGTTTCGAACTGCTGACCTTGAGGTTTGTAGCCCTATTCGTAACCACTACACTGTTGTTGTTAAGTACCATGGAGTCAGTTCTGACTCATAGTGACCATGCACAGGGTTTCCGAGGCTGTAAATCTTTACGGGAGCAGAAAACCTCATCTTTCTCCCACAGAACAGCTGGTAGTTTTGAACTGTTTACCTTGAGGTTGGCAGCCCAACTCGTAACCACTACACTTGTTATTAGGTGCCATCGAGTCGGTACCGACCCATAGTAACCACACTTGAGTCCATCGATGCTGCCACTTGACCAATCCATCTCATTGGGGGGGGGGGGTCGTCTTCCTCTTTTTCTCTGACCCTCCACCTTACCAAACATGATATCCTTCTCCAGCGACTGCTCCCTCCTGACAGTATGTCCGAAGTATGAGAGATGAAGTTTAGCCATCTTGGCCTCTAAGGAGCACTCTGGCTACACTTCTTCCAAAATGATCTATTGGTTCTTTTGGCAGCCCATGGCACTTTCATATTCTCCTCCAACACCATAACTCAAAGGCACTTCATATGCATGAGAAAGCTGGCCAATGAATAAGGCAGATGGTAGAAGAGCCACTACACTATCAGAGTGCAAACCATTCGTGCCACCTGGCGCCATTTTTTGGATGAGGTTCTGATAGTACAGCAGTTACAAGTCGGGCTGCTAGCCTCAAGGTCAGCAGTTGGAAACTACCAGCTGTTCCATCGGAAAAAGATGAGGCTTTCTGCTCCCGTAAAGACTTACAGCCTCGGAAACCCTGTACCACCACCACAGATGAGTACAAGGCCTTTCTCACCGGAGCCACAGAGCACAGGAGGCGACTGGAGTGATCACAGTGTCTATTCTCGCCATCCCAGAAGCCAAGAGGAGAAACAAATTCATGACATGCAATGTGTCCCCTAAGGAGCCCTGGTAAGCTCACTGGGCTGCTAACCAAAAAGCTGCTGGTTCGAATTCACCAGTGGCTCTGTGGGAGAAGCGATCTAATGATCTGTTCCCATGGAGATTAAATCAAAACCTCACTGCTGTCCAGTCGGCTCTGCTTCACATAGCAACTCTACAGATGCTGTAAATCTTTAGGGAAGATGAGATGATCTCATCTTTCTCCCATGAGGGGCTGGTGGGTTCAGCGCTGACCTTTTGGTGAGCAGCCCACTGCGCCAGCAGGGTTCTTTCTGGTAAAGATTACCCATTGCCATCCAGCTGATTCTAACTTGCAGCAACCCTACAGGACAAATCATAATTGCTTCTAAGGGTTTCCAAGTCTTGAGAAGTTTTGGGGAGAAGACAGTCTCATGTGTGTGCCTCTGAGCTAACCTTGCAGTTAGCAGCGCAATGTTACAGTACCAGGTGATGGCCTAGGAAATGCTCTGGGCAGTTCACTCTGTCCTACTGGCTCTATCTCTCTGATGCAACAACTGCAGATGCCCTAGGGCAGTGGGGATTATAGCCCCTACTTTCAGGCTGCCAGCTCTTCTGAGAACAGAGGATAGACCTATGCAAGACCAAACACAATGGAAAACGCTTAACAGTAATAACTACCTGTATTCTGAAAAAAAAAAAAAGCTATAATTAGTTCTGTAGGCCAAAAATGTTCCAACTCTTGCAGGTTTTAGAAACATTCACTACATTCTAGAAACATCCATGAGGGTTACATGCATGCAGAGCTGTTCCATTTGTAGCTAACTGCTTTATCTTGAGAAAACCACTGCTGCCTGAGTTCAGGGCTGGGACGGCTAACGCCCAGGCATGCCTTGGAGATACCGCAGGTCCCAGACCCATTAAAGTACTATGCCAAGCCACCGAGTTGGCCCACAGAGCTCAATACAATGGTGCTGGCAGAAAAAGTCAGACTGTTGAGAAAGGATGAACAAATGTTGTTGTTGTTGTTGTTGTCGTTAAGGGCTGTGAAGTGGATTCTGACTGGTGAGTTTGAACCGCTGACCTTGTGGTCAAACTGACCTTGTGGTCTAGCACATGTCCCACGGCACCACACCAGAACAGATAAGGACCTAAAAATTAATACCAACAACAGGTGTGCCTCAGACTCCTGGTGTGACTCTGTAGGATCAGCACTGGACTGTAAACCACAAGGTCGGCAGTTCAAATCCATCCACAGCTCCTCAGAAACCCTATACGGGGTCAGCATCAACAGTAACGCAGGTGTACCTCGGCAATACTGCAAGTTCGAGTCCAGACCCTCACAGTAATGCAGATGGTGAAGCAAAGCGTCGTACATGTTTTGGTTTCCCAGCACATAGAAAAATGATGTTGATACTGGACGGTAGTCTGAAACAGTGTGCGAATGACCACTACGAGGCACAGACACGATGTGCGGGACACCTTCTACCTGAAGTGGACACGGAGTCTGAGAAGGGCCAGCCAACAAGCCACTGGGCACTTTTCACAAAGCAAACTGTTGACTGGGGGATCAGACGCCGCAGCCTGGAGCACCCCCCCCCCACTCATCTATTGAGCGCCTACTGTGTACAGGCCCTGGGAGAACCCGAGGCCTATTCTCCCAGCTGACACGGGCTAGGGGGTGACTGGTCCTAAGTGCTGGGAAGGAGGGGGGAGCAGAGTCTGGTCCACAAAGGGGTATTCACCCCAGAAAAGGCAATTTCCGCCCAGCAAACGGCTTCGGCCCCTCTCCTGGGAGTCAGAGCAGCTCAGTGTTCGGTTGCTGGCCCCGGTCCAGCCTCTCAGGCTGTCAGAGGGGTGAGTGGTCCAGCGGGACAACGACCCCCCGCCCAGAACAGGCTTAGGACCCATAGTCCTGGGGGGCACTGGGAGCGGCGGTAAGAAATGAGATCACGGCCCCGAGTCTACTGTGCCAGGGGTCAGGGGTCCACGGAGGGGTGGGGAGAGGAGCCTCACTCGGCCCCAGGACAGCCCTCCCGCCCCAGCCCGGGCCCCCCACTCCCACCCGCCCTGCCACGCCCGGCCCCAAACCGCTACCCGCTGTCCCACTCACCGCCGTCAGGTCCGGCAGCCGGTCCCGCATCCCCTGGCCGGGCAGCGCCCCACCGCTTACACTTCCTGCCCGGCGGCTCGCAGGACACGGGGTCTCGGTCGCGCGTAGCCACCTCAGCCGCAGCGGTCCCAACTCCTCCTCGGCTGCCCTCCTCCCCTCAGGGCGGCGCTGCCACGGCAACTGGACGCCTCTTTGCGCGTGCGCGGCCACCGCCCGCGAACTCCCTGAGGGAATGCTGCGGTGAAGGGCGGAGCCATGGGAGGGGCGGGGACTGAAGTGAAAGGGCGGGGCAGGGCGGAGGAAGACATGGCGGGGGCGTGGCCTAGCGTGGCGGGGGGGCTGAGGGTGGGGGGGCGCGCGGGGGTAGGGTGGGGTGGGGGAGGGCAGAGCCATGATGGGAGGGCGGACCTCCTCGAACAACGAGGCGTGATCATATGAGTCCGGTATGGAGGTCGCCTGAGTCAGAGTCACACATCAGTGCCCCACTTTTTTTCCTTTTCCCTGCGTCCGGTTTATTTTGACTCCTGGTCTAGCACTGTAGGATCAGCACTGGACTGAGAGCCACAAGATCCATGAACCCCTTAGAGCCACAACCGACTGAACCGCACTTAGCAACATCGGGTCTGTTTTTACAAATGCACAGGAAGACCTCAACTCCACCCAGATGGCAGCCCAAGGGGTCATGCCAGCCCCTCTATCCTTAGATGGAGAACTCTGTTCCATCGCTGTGGGGGTCTGGGCACCTCTGGGAGCTTGACCTGGAGCCAAACCTTGAGTTGAGGCCTTGGCTGGACCTTCAGCCTGACTTGGAGCATTGGCCTTGGACTCTTGACTGACGCTTCCCCAGCTTGGGACGGGCAGTGTAGGGCCAGTCCACTGAGCTTGCGGTGGACACCCCTTGGGGTCTTAGACTTGACCTCTGTGTCTCATGGCCTTGGTGTTGTTGGCTTTTTGGCAAAGCGCATATTCCTCGGAAACTTGGGGTCTACCTCCTTAAGAGGTTCATATTGTCATTGTGCTAGGGGCTTCTTGATGCCCTTTCTGTTCCATTTTCAAGACTGATGTGGGTGGCGGTGTTCTTGGGAGTTGCCCATGTACTGTCACCCGCTGCTCTGGTGGACCAGGGACTGAAAGAGAGCCCACTATATCTCTTGATTTGTTTTTTGCTTTTCTACTCCCTTGGTTTTATTTTTAAAAAGTCAATTTCAACATGAAGAACGAACCGAAATGTAAATTAGGGACTTTAGTTAATCATTTATGTACATTGGTTCATCAGTTGTAACAAACGGACCATAAAAATATAAAAAACACACCGCTTTCAAATTGTCACTGACTCCTAGCAACCGTGTTGGACGAAGTAGACCTGCCCCATAGTGTTTCTAAGGCTGTAAATCTTTACTGGAGCAGACTGCCACGTCATTCTCCATATGAGGGGCTGGTGGGTTTGAACCACCGACCTTGCAGTAGTGGACCAGCGCTTAACCCGCGGTGCCACCAGGACTCCTACAGACATCTCAGGTGTTAATTATAGAAGATGCGGTCTGCGAGGGCTGCCAGAGCAAAGTGCCTCAAAGTGGGTGACCCCTAACAGAAGTTCATTCTCTCAAAGTCTGGGGGCTAGAAGTCCAAATTCAAGGGAGTCATCACGAAAAGCTTGAGGGAAGGGCCCTTCCTTGACTCTTCAGCTCCTGACATTACCAAGTGAGTCTGGTCTTCCTTTTTATCATACACCCTCTGTTCTACTCAGAACCCATGTGAACTTAACTGGCAACATCTGCAAAGACCCTCGGTCTTAGCTCTCCAGTGCCGTTGCTATGATAGAGATGCCACAAGTGGCGGCTGAACAAACAGACCTTGATTGTCTTGCTCAGAGATCCAGTTTAGTGAGTCCACTCTAGGAGAAGGTCCTTGCCACCAGTCTTCCCTTTGGACTAGGAGTTTCTCAGCACAGGGACTTTGCATCCTCAGGATGGACTCCACTCCTGCCTGTTCTTAACTTGGTGGTAGCCAGGTTCCTACCTTTCTGAACATCGCCTTCTCCTTTTACCTCTTGTACGGTGGACTCCTGGTGTGGCGCTGTACGATAAGCACTCGGCTGCGAACACCAAGGTGAGCAGTTCAAACCCACCAGCTGCTTCTCAAAAACCCTATACAGGGTCGCTATGTGTCAGAACCAACTCAACAGCACTTAACAACAAGACAAAAGGTGTTGTTGGAGCTAGACCCCAGGGACCCCAGGGAAACTCCCCTTATATCACGTCAGCACTATGACCAGAGGCAGGGTGTTGCATCCCACCCTAAGCCCCGGACGTCATCAGTTCAGAGCTGGTCCCATCAGATCACAGCATAGGGAGCGGTTACATCATCACGTGACCGCCAAACCACTGAGCATCATGGCCCAGTCAAGTTGACACATATTGGGGGGTGGGGGGACACAATTCATGCCACAACAGGGGACAAGAGAATCCTCTGTACTTTCTGTAAACCTGAAAACTACTCTAAAAAAATTTTGAGTTTTCAAATCTCCCTGAGTTTCATATGTAAAAGAAAAGAGATCATGTAATGAATCTTGACAAATTTGCCTAAGCTATCGATGATTTGGGTGCAGTATACTTGCAGAACAAGGTCTTCCTGAAAGAGTCTACATGCGGCCTTAGGTGTTGTTGTTGTGAAGTGCCATCGAGTCGGTTCCGACCCATAGTGACCCTGTACAGGGTTTCCAAGGGTGTAAATCTTTACGGGAGTAGAAAGCCTCATCTTTCTCCCGCGGAGCGGCTGGTAGTTTCGAACTGCTGACCTTAAGGTGCGCAGCCCGATTCGTAAACACTACGCTACATGCGGCCTTAGGTGTGGCTAAAGAAGGAATGAAGTAGCACTGCTGGTGCATCTGAACAAAGTGACATCAAAGGAAAGGAAGGTCGGGAGGGTGGCCTGCAGCTGCAGGTCAGGAGCTGGGGTCCACAGATCAGTCCAAGGAGAAAACAGGACACATGAGGGTGAAGCCCAGGAAGATGGATGGCCCAGGAGGTGCCCAGAGTTACAGTGAACAGTCCCTGAGGCCACCCCCTCTTCTGATCCTTACTATAAGATCCATGTGTTCTCCAGACCCCCTTAAGGTTCCACAATTCACTAGGACTCATAGAATTTACTGAAAGTTGCCATATGTACCGGAAGCCCCCACGTAAGCTCCGACTCGTAGCGTCCCTAGAGCACACAGTGGAACTGCTCCATGAGAGGTCTTCCTAGAGCACTCACATGGAACCACCAACCTCCCAGTGAGCTGCCCAGCACTTTACCTGGACGCCCGTTGTATTCACAGGTGTGGCTTATTATATGGGAAGGACGCTGGTTAGACTTAGCCGGGAGATGAGGCACCTGGAGCAGATCCCAGGTGCACCCAGTACAGCGTTTGCCTTGTCCTGTGTCTGTAGAGTCAGAACAAGTGTCCAGAGTTTTCACTGGGGCGTCACTGCATAAAGGAACCCTTGTGGTCCAGGGGGTTGAGTGTTGGGCTGCTAGCTGCAGGATCAGAAGTTCAAAGCTCTATGGGAGGAAGATGAGGCTGTTTGCTCCTGTAAAGATTTACAGTCCCAGAAACCCTAAGGAACACTTCTACCCTGTCCTACAGTGTTATCAGGAGTCAGAATTGACAAATGACAGTGGGTTCATGACATACATTTGATTGATGTATTGATTGCCCAAGCGGTTGATCTCAACCCCTCACTCTAAATTCCAACTGTAGGCCTTTCTGACAAGGTCAACCCTAGTCTAAGGCAGAAGAACCAGCCCCAACCCTAAAGCACACTCCCCTGCACCACCAGGCAAGCCCAGTGCCACTTGGCAAACAGAAATCACCTCCCAGGAGCTGAGGGCAAAGACCTTTGGGGGTGCAAGCCCCCTTCCAAGGCTGAAACTCAAATGGAGTAACACTAGCAGGTTTATGGTCCTGCTGCTGACCACACTGGTCATCGATAAGGGGAAGAGGGGGAAAAACAGCAATGAAGTTGTGAACTAAGTCCAACCACATTCAATAGACTACTGATGACCTGGATTGACGAGACCTGGGGACTCCTGGGCCCAGGGGCAGGGACATGGCCACAGAGGACTAGAACGGAATGTGAAACATCCAGCTGATATGAAGTGAGGGGAGATGCACACGAAAACCCACATTTGCAGATAGTACCCATTTGACCTGGCATCAATGGCTGGATGATCAGAACATGACTAGAGGAAGCATGAAGAGGAAAAAAATAGTAACCCACTAAATGTGGATGAGCTTGACCTACACTTGCAGATGCATATGACAAAGAGCAGACACATCTTTATGTGAGGATCATTCCCACCCCCTTGGTACACAGGGTCGACAGGGATAGGGAACTTAGACGTTGGCTACCCAAAATGGGGGGGCTACAAAATCAAGAAGTGATTGGCTTACAAGCTTTCAATAGGGAACCTAGTTCCAGAGGATACAGGGAAATGTAGAACCTCCACTGAGTTGTTTCCAACCTGTCTGGATGGGGTTGATAAAAGGTGAGGGGGAAAGGCCTCCTGTGGTTCAATAGGGAATGATTGCTATCAGGTCTGACAGTGAGTGTTTGGAAAGGTAAATGTAAATGTTTGGTAACAAAAGGAGGGGAGGGGCTGGTTTTGCTGTCCAGGAGCAGAGATCCCTGGAACCATCAAGGAAGAAAAGTGAAGTGTGAGACCCTGTCCTGGGAGGCAGTGACACTAGGGATGGAGGCAGAGATGATGACATGGACAGAAGGAGTGGCTGGGGACTCTGGACTCAGAAGGGAGAGGGGCTGTGGGCTAGCGGCTGGGGGGCAGGCGTGTGGGGTGTACCCTTTGGGTGTTTGATGATGCATGCAGGGGATTGTGATCATTGCAATGAAACAAAATATGATAGGATGAATGTAAAGATGATGTTCCCCCATGTAAACTAACACATAATTCACAATAAAAACTAAATCAAAATTTAAAAGAATCACTGGCAACATAACCAAAAAAAAGGAAGAGAGAGCGAACAAGAGGAGGACAAACATAGACAATATTGGGAGAAGCAAGGGGAATTAAAAGAGGAGTAGAAAGGTCATGGATCGTTTTAAGAATTTTGAAATGTATCCTCTGTGTAATGGGAATTCAGTAAAGTGCTTTAATCCGTGAAAAACAAAACAAAAGCCCTTTGGGGACAATGCTGGGTTTGTTACTAGACAGAGAGTCTTGCTGGGGAGGTGGTTCGGGGTTGCAGCCATAGCAAATGTACCTGGAAAGCAGAGTCTCACTGGAGAAACAGCAGGTAAGCCTGGGGTTCATCTGGGTATGCTTTGGGTCTTGGTTCTTAGGAGGAGAGTAAGGGGAAACAGAGCAACGAGACAGCTCAAGAGAGAGAAGAC